GGATTGCTGTGTGATTTGCATATTGGTTTTACATTTTACTGTATTCGGCAATCATTTCAAAGAGGGCTGAACCACCAGCAATACAAGACAAGAAAAACCTGTACATATGTGGAACTTTTCACGTGCCATCTGCCCTATAGTAGAAGTACTGCTACAGGGCGGCAGGGCTGTGCAAAATTATGTATATAAATGTGATTTGCATTTCGGGGTAGGGACCGCGTGCACCGCCCTGCCAGCGCCACTATTAGCAGCTGGGGATGTCAATCACTGGGTCCCGGCCGGCGATTCTTGGCCAGCACTTGGTGATCATCAGCAAAAGCTGACAGGGGAGAGACCTGTGTGTACTCCTGAAGTCACATGACATGACGTAACGCGTAGGGTTTGCCGATGTCATCAAGCCGCAAACTGGAAGTGCACGTGCCGCCATTTTGGATAAGGGATCCATGCACTTTTATTCAACAATGATACTGTATAGTGAGTCTTTGATCCTGTAGTGTCCCAGGTGGGCACTTTTAAATGTGAGTGTATTTTGATTAGTATTTTAATAACGTTGGTTGTATTTGGCTATACTTCACTATATGGAGCATTTTTTTCATGTCTGTGGAGCGTTTTGGAGATTTTAAGTGCTGACGGTGGTGAAGATCTCTGTACCAGTTCACCCTCCCAGGTTAAAGGGAAAGGCATAGTTTGACCTGAGAATACGGGTCAAACCTGAAGATGAGTGTAAAAGTGTGTCAGAGGTGGATAAGCACTGAGGGCTGACACAGGAGCACCGTATATGTGTATGCAGTAGTGTGATCACAGATCCACTTGGAGCACAGCGGATTTAAAGGGACGGTTCACCAGCATTTTGAGACCATAATATTGGGACACTTGTTGATGGTATATTTGGAACACGATGCACAGGAGATATACCGCACAAGCACATATGAAGATATTGGAGTGTTAAAGGGACAGTTCACTATTTTGTAGGTTCATTTGGTATTTGTATACACTATTCATTTAGCACTGGTCAGGGGCGGACTGACCATTTGGAAACTTGGGCACTGCCCGAGGGCCCGGGGTCAGTAGGGGGCCCCATGAGATGCCCCTGGTACCTTTTTCATAGACTTTTTTGAGTTTGGGCGAGGACACAGCGGCCCCATGATCCCCTATTGCCCAGGGGCCCCATGAGTTGTCAGTCCGTCCCTGGCACTGGTATATGCAGTTTTTGGATATTTATGTATATGTGTTGATATTTATTTTGATGTAGCACATGCAGTATTATTGTCATGAAGCACAATTTTCTGTTTTCACTATTCACATATGCACGTTGGATTTATTTAGCAGCGTATTTGAGTTTATAGTACTGTGCTGCATTTTTTTTTTTTTGATTTAGGGTTTACATGTGGGAACGCAATGCATGCTAGCTGCAATACTTGTTTCGTAGGAGGTCCATTGCACTGAAGGTTTCTCATATTATTATTATTATACAGTATTTATAAAGCGCCGATAGTTCACTCAGCGCTGTACATTACAAAGGGGGACAGAACATGTGACAGAACAATAACAATACAATGCAAAACATGAGGGGATCGAGGGCCCTGCTATACAGGTCTCTCTCCTGTCAGCATGGACATGCTGCTTTTTACCCCCCTCTCAGCAGAGAGATACAAAGCAGCATGTCTCCCAAGTAAAACAGCACATAGTACACATAGTAAAATACACACAGCACACAGTTAACGCCCCAAATGTTAACCCCTTCCTGCCCAGTGTCATTAGTACAGTGTCACTGCTTTTTATTAGCACTGATCACTGTATTAGTGTCACTGGGGATGTCAGTGGCGGCTAGTTCCCACTCAGTGTCAGAATGCCCACCGCAGTCCCACAGTCCTGCTATAAGTCGCCATTACTAGTATAAAAAAAAATAAAAATTCCAATATATATACTGCCATTTGTAGACACTATAACTTTCATGTAAACCAAATTAATATACAATTATTGGGATTTTTTTAAACAAATACATTTTGACCTAAATTTATGAAGAAATTTGATTTTTTTTTTTTTTATTGGATATAGTTTTTATAGCAAAAAGTAAAAAAATATAGCTTTTTTTTCAAAACTGTCTGCCTTTTTTTGTTTATAGCGCAAACAATTAAAAACACAGAGGCGATCAAATACCACCGAAATAAAGCTCTATTTGTGGCAAAACAATTACATCAATTTAATTTATGTACAGCGTTGCATGACCGCACAATTGTCAGTTACAGTAAAGCAGCGCCGTATCCCAAAAAATGGCATGGCCAGGAAGGGGCAAATCCACTGGAGGGCAATGTGGTGCCAAAACTAAGGGAAAAATATTTCTACTTTTTTTTTTATTACTTGAATGAAAATATGAAAACAATTTAATATGAAAATATAATGAAAAACTTTCAATAAGCAGTTGTGTCCTACATTTAAACAATCATGTATCTTAAAATTGCAAAACATCACTTTTTCCCCCTAATCTAATTACAACCTTAATTTAATTACATCCTTATCACATTACGGATCCAAATATGCTGTATGGGTAATTAAATAGCTCCAGTAAAATTTCATTAAAGTGGATAAGGTACAGGTGATGTCTTGTTCTTCAATGCATTTAAAGAGCCCTTCAGTACGTTCATAAAAAAAGATTTTAATTATATTTTTTTTACTTGGTTCTGGTACATTAAACGTCCCTCGTATGTACACCTTTTTTCTGTCTATCAAAATGAGGATGTGGTGCCATTTGCTCAGCCATCAATCCTTCTATATATACACCAAACAATTGTAACTTTATGACCACCCATGTTCAGTCCTTGCTACAGGTTTTCCTAGCTGTAGCTTAAAATGCAACTAAACCCATTCTGAAATAAGTCAGACTGAATGTACAGTAATCTTGAAGCTTTATTAAGAAAACAGGTTGTGGTGAAACTATTGAAAAAACAGGTAATAAATACATACAATCAATGTATGAAGCATACAGAAAGTACAATGATATGATTAGACTGTAGATGGCAAGCCCATGCCGACCAGCAATGCTGCCCGTAGGGAATGTAAGTTTAGTTCACAACATGTGCTGCAGAGAATGTTACCCGGCTCCTTTCCCTCATTTCTTAAGATGAAGTCTGAACTCCCAAGATGCACCTGTTTCTTTTTCATAGAATAAAGGAGTTTTATTAATTAAGACTAAACAGTCTCTAGTCTTTGTAAAATGGTGAATTTATTCTGGTCTCCATCTAGTGGCCGAATGTAATATTGCGGGCAGGTCAGGCTTAATGAATTTCCCAGCTGGTGGCAAAACAATCCACCTAATGTCATGGTGTAGTCTGAAGTTTCCTGCCTGTGAAATTCTTACCTCCTTGTTGCAGTGGTTCTGCTAGACCTGTGATTCTATTCACATTTGTTGTTGGCTTCTGTGTTCACCTATGGGTGTTGCCTGCTCTACTGTGGATTTTTATACCCTTTCCCTTCTATCACCTCCTGGGCTGCCTCCCTGTCTGCTTCCCTTTATGAGACATGCTCTGTGCAGCCCGGGCTGCCTGAACAACTTCCCAGTTTCTCTGAGCACCTGGTTTGCTTTACATTACTTGTATGCTGTGTCTGACTTCTTACCAATACCAATCCCGACTTTGTCTACCATTTTTGCTTGCCTGTACTGAACTTGGCTTGTTTTCCTGATCCTTATCAATCTCCTAAAATCTGTACTCTGCATACGTGAGTGGTCTCCGCATTGTCAGCTGGGCGTACCTGGGGGCCATGACCTGTTTCCAGTTTGCTGCAAGTGCATCCCCACCATCAAGGGCCCTGATGAAGAAGCAGACTGTGGCTTAGACTCCGTGCCCTGGGGAACTTCGAGTTTGCTTTCTATAAGGGCTTAATGCCACAGAAACTTGACAACCAATAGGAGTGTGTCCCTTTTTTGCCACCAAAACAGCCCTGACTTGTCAAGGCATTGACAACACAAGACTCCAGAGATTGTGCTGTGGTATCTGGCACCAAGCCATCAGGTGCAGATCCTTTAAGTCCTGTAAGTTGTAAGGTGGAATCTGCATGGATTGGACTTGTTTTTCCAGCACATGCCACAGATGCTCAGTTGGACTGAGATCTAGAGGCCAAGTCAACATCTCAAACTCATTGTTGTGTTCCTCAAACTGTTCTTGAACCTTTTTTGCAGTGTGGCAGGACATAATCTGCTAAAAGAGGCCACTGCCATCAGGAAATACAGTTCCATGAAGGGGTGCACTTGGTCAGCAACAATGTTTAGGCAAGTGATACGTGTCAAAGTAACATCCACATGAATGGCAGGACCCAAGGTTTCCCAGGAGAACATTGTTCAAAGCATCACACTGCCTCCACAGACTTGCCTTCTTCCCATAGTGCATCTTTTTGCTATCTATACCCCTGGTAATCAATACGTACACACCCAGCCATCCACATGATATATATATTTTATATATATTTATATATATATATATAGATTGTGCATTCACATCAGTCCCTAACCCTCAAGGGGCGTACAATCTAAGGACCCTAGCTCACATTCATACATACACATACTAGGGTCAATTTAGACAGGAGCCAATTCACCTACCAGCATATCTTTGGAGTTTGGGAGGAAACCGGAGTACCTGGAGAAAACCCACACAGGCACAGGTAGAACATGCAAACTCCAGGCAGGTGGTGCTGTGGTTGGGATTCGAACCCAACCCAACCATTATGACTTATACACTTGCACATGATTTTCAGCTTGAGCCACTGAGTTCTGTGAACAGACCATTTTTGTAGCAGGAGGGAAATAGAAACCAGAAAAATGTGAAACCAAACATCCCACCTTCTCACTGGTTATTGGAATAAATGTACACAAGATTTCGTAACTGCCTGGCAAAAATAATAATAGAAATAGTTTTTTAAATGTTTTTTTTTGTCCTGACCATAATAAATGAAGAAAATATGTACAAAGCCACTAAAATCCCTTTAATGTCTGCGTTTCCTTCCAGAATGCCTACATCCTTTACTACATGGCAATAGTCGGACATGCCCTGTCTATTGTCTCCCTGCTAATTTCCCTTGGAATTTTCTTCTACTTCAAGTAAGTGCCACCGGAATGCATAATTTCGATTTTAATTGTTTTTGATTTCCAGGGTTACATATTAATGAAAAACTGAGGGGAGGAATACTGATTTGTGTGGAAATGGAATTTGTTCACTAGCTAATGTAAGTCACATCTTATTTTTCTCTACAGTCTTAATACCCAAAACACAAAGCTCATTTTGAACTCCAGACAGTCTTCAGAACTTCATACGCACAGATGTGGATGACTCAACTTTTGTAATGTCGTAGATTATGCAGGGGTGTTGTGAGTGCAAGGTGGTGCCCCAGCACTTTTTTTCCAGAGGCATATTAATTAGGAGGTGACACTTAGTAAATTCAATGTCAACCTGACTTCTAGTCATATCCTGGAACCCCCATGTACATTTTTTGTTTTTTCTTTTATATTTGCCCCTTTTCCAGTAGTCGTAAGGCTGATCACATGATGCACAGGATCTTCTTCCTCATATGGTCTTATCCAGCGATGGGCAGTCATTGATGATGCAGAGAGTGGTGTTGACATGATGACGTCTGCCAGGGCTGCTGTTAGAAGTCACAGGATCTTCTTTCTCATATGGTCTTATCCAGCGATAGGAAGTCACTGGGCCCCATTCAGCCAACCCGACAGCCCCCCACCCCCCCCCCCCCCCCCCCCCCCACACACACACAGTTTTCTATGCTTCAGTTATGAATGAACATAGTGAGTGCTCGGTAATGAACACTCATTGTGTTCATTCAGGAAAGAAGAGGGCTAGTAGATGTGACATATTTACCGTCTCCCAGCGTCCATCCAGAAGGATCCTATTGTGTGTTTGCAGCTGCTGTGGGAAGGAGAGGAGGGAAGTTGATGCGGTGGTGGGGGCACACATGGGGGCCCAGGCATCAGGGGAAAATGTATGGTGCACAGTGAGGGTGATGGGTGAGGCAGGGGAAGGGGTTATTTACTGGAACTGATCCCCCCTCTCCGCTGCAGCTGAAAGGCAGCTGGAGGAAATGGAGAAGAAACCAGTTTTCAGCTGGTGCAGAGAGCAATACAGGGGATAAGTTCCAGTAATTGCCCCACCACTGTGCCAATCATCCTCCCTGCCCACATCAGATTCACCCTGCCTGGGCCCCATACAGGAGGACTGGCAGTGCCCCTATCCATGGCACTGACGTCTGCACAGCTCACTGCGTCATTATATGTGAATGTAGGGTGATGTGGTCATCCTGCGCTCACTGGAAGCCCTCAGTCTTTTAAGTTGAATGACTTTGGACATCCATCAGCCCAAAAGACTAAGGACATCTAGCGCCCTAAACTATTATAGTAGGGGAAATCATCTGGAAGGAGGGGAGTATAGCAGCCAGAACTCATTTTTAAAATCTTCACTTCCAAAGTGAAAATATTTAAAAAAAAAAAAATAAAGCCTGTAGTTGGGCTTTTACCATTGGTAGCTGAAAGGTAGATAACAATAGTGCTATACCCCTAATAGCGTTAATATATGTAGAAATATTTAAAGGATAACCCCCAACACCCTTTGCCAAGCCAGCACATTGAAACAAACTTGTCTTCTAGCAAACCATGATACACAACCATTGAAAGTTTCTGCTATTGTTAGTTAGTTATTTACATAATGCATGGTTTTGGAAGTGTTTCACACTATTTCGTTGTGGGGGGGGGAGTCATTGTTTGAAAAAAGGTAAAATGTAGGATGCCCAGATTGGGGTGACCTACATTACAGAAATATATATTGCTCATTATGTCTGTTTGTATTACTGTATTAAGGAAAGGAAAAATAAAAAAAATTTTTTTTCATCTTTGTTGGTTTCCATTTTCATCTAAAGGAAGCTCCAAGCTCCTTTTCTAATACTAGCCAGGCTGTCCTTAGCTGACATAACCTGTTTATTACAGAGTTCAATAGCTCAAACGTATGTTTGCCTAAATGTGTATGTCAGAGCAGTGAGTCCTCCCACTTGCCTACCTGTGAACGTGTGTGAAGGAAGAACAGCAGCTGGAATGGCCAGATATGCATAGCTACACTTAAGAAACTGAGACCATATTATATATGATTTAACCAAGTTTATTAACAGTGAAACAAAACCTATCCAAATGACTGCAAAAAGTATGCATAGTAAATGTGAGCAAACGTGAAGATACAAGTGAACAATAAACCAGGTGACAAATACCTAGCGAGCAACTATAGTAACCTACAGTAGCAGAAAGCCTAACCAACAATACTGTATATAAAATGGGGGACATTGATCAACCTGGTAAAACTGGAGGTGTAGGGAACAGTCAGGAAAGGGGAACCAGGACTGAAATAAGGAACAAGGAGAACAAGTACAAAGCAGCAGAGTAAAGGATATAGATATAATAGAGCAGGCTCAAGCAGGAATCAGGCACAGGATTAATGGCAAGCAGAGCAAAGCACTGACACACAAGGGAATAGTAGAGGAGGAACTAAATACCCTTTCAACAGCCAGCATCAGGTGGAAACACCAGAACCATAGTGCCATTAGCAAGTGATCCAGATTAGGAAGGAAGGAGAAAAAAGAGAGATGAATAGATAGATAGATAGATAGATAGATAGATAGATAGATAGATAGATAGATAAAATGTTGAAATAGAATTGGTCATAAAGAAATAAAAGCATACTTGATAAATAATTCAAATGTCACCCATGTTTTGTGTTTTAGGAGCCTAAGCTGTCAGAGGATTACACTTCATAAAAACTTGTTTTTCTCCTATGTCCTGAATTCCTTGTTTACTATCGTCCATCTTACAGCTGTGGTCCCAGATTTGGACCTGGTGAAAAGAGACCCGGTAAGCATTTAGCCTTTTAGTGTGTTCAAAAAGAAAATGTCAAGCTCTCATTTATTGCTAATCTTTATTCTTCTGAGAGATTTCTATATACTCCTTTTTTTAAATAAATAAACATTGGATACACGACACAGGATTCCCTAAGCAGTAAGAGTTGGCTAAAGCTTTCCTTGCAGCACTGCGTAGTCTGATTTAAGGTGTAACTAATGGTAAAATAAAACAAATTATATTTGTGATGCATTCTGTTCATAGAATTAATAAGGCAGTTTAACGTAGGTAACAAAACAATATTACAAGAATAGCACTACCCCCTTAGGAGTCGCTAGGGATGTGGACCCCCCTATAGTTCTGCACAGCCAGGCAACCCTCATCCTGCCAATAACTTGCATCCAGGAGACAGTAACCAATCATTGAGCTTTGTTTTAAAGTTTTATTAGGGGATTTGAACTGAGATAGGATTAAGGGTGTATGGGATGCCCAATGGAACTGTAAAAACTGAGGACAACTTCCTGGAACTATATACAAGTTTTTTTTACAGCAAAATCCTCTTCTTGGAGAGCTAGCCAGTGTATCCGGTTGTACCACCCCAGACCCTGGATTCTCCTAATCCAGCCATACTGGGTGAATCCCTGAGCAGGGGTTCCAGTGCCTGCCATTTTAAAGTAAGACAGTCCTGAGTGCTCCTTCCCCTATCTGGCCTAGGGGGTGCAGGTTTACTCATTTAGTCCTCCTGTGCTGCTGGTGGGTCAGTGGCTGCTACCAGGCCTTCTAGCTGGGTTGCTCCTTCCCTGCCACACAGGTGGTTCTCTCTTGGGTAACTGTAAAGTCCCAAGCTTTCCTTCTTCCATAATCCTCTGGCCTGCAGGTGAACCCCTTTCCACCTGGGCCCCCTCCCAGGCTCCTGCTCTTCAGCTTCACTTTCTTGTCTTCCAACCAAACTCTCCTCCCAACTCTCTTGCTGCTGAGCACACTCATTTACCCGTACAGGCTGTCCTGGTCCCTTGCCAAGCCGCCTGTTGGGGATTGGACAGGATCCTCTAAGAGTACAGACCAATCAATTCTCAACTCCTCCCACTGCTTCTGGATCTTTCTCCAAAGTTCCAGAGCAGGGGGAAGTCCCAGAGAACTGGTCTGCAGAGCCTCTCAGCTCTGACCACAATTTGAACCACCTAGCTATTACCCCAGGCTGCTACTCAGCCTCTGTTTAGCAATTAAAGCTAGAGCTCCCTCTAGCTGACTAGGAGGGTGTTACATTCAGAAAAATAGAAACTGCACTGTTAATTCTACAGACTGGACTTTATCATAAAGACAATGTATTTGCCCATAGTTTCACTTTAAACATCACACTGAGTCTTCTGGTGAGAAAACAGCAGATGACTCAGTTTGACCTACTGAGTTTTGTAAAAAAAATCTACTGGCTAAAAAAAATTATATTCAGTATTTAATTTACTTGACTGAAAAGAAAAGGATTTTTTTTTCAAAACTGTATGGTTTCATTCAACCAATAAATAGTAAAAAGATAAAAATAAAAGGACAAGACATTTCCTTTAAAGTAACCCTGAATTCTCAACTCTGGGAAATACACAAAAATAACCATTGCAGTGGCCCCCAGAACCCCCTAACCCCCACACACACTACAAGGGTTAAATGCTGAGTATGTCTAGGGGGTAAAAGAAATAAGGTGTAATACATACCTTATCCCTCACCCGGGAGGGCATTAGCACTCTTCTTTCCTAATCTTCCTGATGATCTGGGCTGTGGGTGGTCCCTTGCAGTCCTCACAATAAAATGAGGGGCTATTGTTCTGGTGGTTGTAAACCTCAGACATGACATTTGAACAAAGCGTATAATTCTATAGTGTGTACTTGTCTTGGTCCAAAGCAGTAAGTGTCATTACTCTCTGCTGCCTCATTCCCTTGCTATCTGCATGAGTCAATTCTGCTGAACTTTCCTAACACCAAGACATACAAAAGTGACATGGGAGTGAGGTCCAGCTCACAGCTGTGATTGACTGCATCAGCTCTGTTCCTGTGTACTGTGTGAAGGGGTGTGTGTTTCCTTCCCTCCAATCGGCAATCACTGAGCTCTGCAAAGTGTAAAGCCGGCCATGGATGGTTCAGATCTAGGTAGGTTCAGGGTTCCAACCATCTATAGGCAAGCTGATTGTGCCCAAGTTGATCCATCGATCGATTTGGGTACAAGAAGCATGTCAGATTTTTACATGTGATTATTGCCTGCAGCTATAGCTTCTAGCAATAATCACCATGTTCTCCCAGCAGGGACAGCTCTCCATGCCCCACTGTTGGGAAAACACAGTAGCTTTGTGGGATCCATACTGACTATGTTGATGGGAGATTCAACCAATTTACTTTTCTGCATCCACAGTTCATCTTTCATCATCTATGGCCTGGATAACTTCAGATCCCCACCCCCTGCTTTCTGAAAGTGCAGACAAGCTGTATTAAGAGAAGGCTGTAAAGAAGAGAGGGCTGCAGATAAACTGGTACAGCAGAGGGAGGGGCTAGTGGTACAAAAGGTAATACAGTTGTGGCCAAAATTATTCAACCCCCAATGCTGTAAAGGGGTTTAGGGACTATAGTGTACATTTGGAATTGTATTCAGAATCAAATCCTACAAGGACGTTGTAACTACCCAAATGCAACTAAAAATGACATCAATTGTTTATGTAATACAGTAGTAAATGGTTCTTATGTGGTTTCTTCATTGCCACAATTATTCAACCCCTTAAAGACTACCACTCTGAAGAACAGAGGTTCATACAGGTGCTTTCCATCAGGTATTGAAAACACCTGTGGATGTCACCGAGCAGCAATCAAGCATAATAAGCACCAATTAGGCAGCTTTAAAATGACTGTGATACTCAGCTCCTTCTAGACATTTACTGGTGTGGTTACAAACATGGTGAAGGCAAGAGAATGGTCCAGGAAGACAAGAGAAGAGGTGATTTCTCTTCACAGGAAGGGCAATGGCTATAAGAAGATTGCAAAGATGTTAAACATACCAAGAGACACCTTAGGAAGCATCATTCGCAAATTCAAGGCAAAGGGCACTGTTGAAACGCTACCTGGTCGTGGCAGAAAGAAGATGCTGACTTCGACTGCTGTGCGCTACCTGAAGCGTAGAGTGGAGAGAAGTCCCCGTGTGACTGCTGAGGAACTGAGAAAAGATTTGTCAGATGTGGGTACAGAAGTTTCAGCCCAGACAATAAGACGCACACTGCGTAATGAAGGCCTCCGTGCCAGAACTCCCAGGCGTACCCCCTTGCTGTCTCCAAAGAATAAGAAGAGTCGACTGCAGTATGCCAAAAGCCATGTGGACAAACCACAAAAGTTGTGGGATAGTGTTCTGTGGACTGATGAAACAAAATTAGAACTGTTTGGGCCCATGGATCAACGCTATGTTTGGAGGAGGAAGAACAAGGCCTATGATGAAAAGAACACCTTGCCTACTGTGAAGCATGGTGGAGGGTCAATCATGCTTTGGGGCTGTTTTGCTTCTGCAGGTACAGGAAGCTTCAGCGTGTGCAAGGTACCATGAATTCTCTTCAGTACCAGGAGATATTGGATGGAAACGTGATGCAGTCCGTCACACACCTGAGGCTTGGGAGACGTTGGACCTTTCAACAGGACAATGATCCCAAGCATACCTCCAAGTCCACTAGAGCATGGTTGCAGAGGAAAGGCTGGAACATTTTGGAGTGGCCATCGCAGTCACCAGACTTAAATCCGATTGAGAACCTCTGGTGGGACTTAAAGAAAGCAGTTGCAGTGCGCAAGCCTAAGAATGTGACTGAACTGGAGGCCTTTGCCCATGAAGAATGGGCGAAGATACCCGTAGATCGCTGCAAGACACTTGTGTCAAGCTATGCTTCACGTTTAAAAGCTGTTATAACTGTAAAAAAGATGCTGTACTAAGTACTAAGATTGAATGTCACTTGGGGGTTGAATAAAACTGATAATGCTGTGAGCACAGAAAAGACATTTGTGGTTATTTCATTATAACTGTTATGTTATATTTGTCTGACCTACAAGTGCCTCTTTAATGTAAATGTAAGCAAGATGACTGAATGATCAAAAGCAATGTCAAACTGGCCAAAACACTCAATTTCAGTGGGGGTTGAATAATTTTGGCCACAACTGTAACTGTGGGGGATGGACTGGTAGGAGGAATAGAAGATTCCATTATTAGCTGAAGGAAGGATAGGCTTCCCTGAAGAGATAGGTTTTCAGAGATTGCCTAAAAGTGAATAGAGTCGGCTATAGTCTGATAAATTGGGGTAGAGAATTTCAGAGGATGGGGAGGCTCTGGAGAAGTCCTAGAGACGAGCATGGGAGGAGGGGCAAGGGAGCTAGAGAGTAGGAGGTCGTGCAAGTAGCAGAGAGTATGGTTTGCGTGATATTTGGAGACAAGATTGGTGATGAAATTTGGGGCAGAGTTATAATGGCTTTATATGTTATTGTTAATGTTTTGAACTTTATCCGTTCGGCAATGGGAAGCCAGTGGAGGGATTGGCAGAGAGGGATGGCAGATATGGAACGGTTAGGGAGGTGGATGAGTCTGGCAGCATTCATGATAGACTGAAGAGGGGATAGCCTGTGATTAAGTAGGCCAATGAGGAGGGAGTTACAATAGTCAAGAGAGAGTGAGAGATAACAAGGAAGTGAAGACGTTGCTTAGTAGTTTCAGAGGTTAAGAATGGGCGTATCTTGGAGATGTTGTGGAGGTGAAGTCTACAAGATTTGGACAGCAATTGTATTTGGGGCTGAAAGGACAGATGGGAGTCTAGGATTACACCTAGTACCCTGGCATGAGGGGAGGGACTGATGGTTGTATTATTGATCTTGATGGAGAAGTCCGGGGAGGGGGCATGGGCTGGAGGGAATAGTATGAACTCCGTTTTGGAAAGATTGAGTTTGAGGAAGTGGAGTGGCATCCATGCCGATATGTCACTTAGTAGGTTAGTAATGCGAGAGGAGACTGAAGGGGTGAGGTGAGGAGTAGAGAGATAGATTTGTGTGACATAAGCATAGAGATGGCACTTTAAAGCCATGGGAGTTTATCAAGTGACCAAAG